ACCGCGATCCTCAGATCTCAGAGATCCTCAGATCTCAGCCTTCTGAGTAGCTAGGATTACAGCCGTGAGCCACCAGTGCCCGGCTACAAAAGCATTTCTATAACCAAATGCAATGACTTTGCAGGTTAGCCGGTTGTTCTCTGGAAATTTGCTCATTCCTTGGTGATCTTGACATTGCACATTATCATACCTCTTCTCTCTTCTCTTTCCAATTCCCCTCTCTCTGTGTTCTCAATGAGAGCATTTCTGAATGCTGTGCATTCAACTTGTGCATCTCACAATTAGCCAATGGCTTCTATAATTACTTGCATATAATTGAATCTTAAGTTGATGCCTTTGATGTCTTTTACGATAGATATTTCCTCCATAATATTTCCCTTTTTCTTATTCTTTTTGATGATACTGGAGTTTGAACTCCAGGCACTATGCTTGCTAGACTGGTGCTGTATCACATGGGCCATAACTCCAGCCTTCAGAATGGTATTTTTAATCACTTCAAGCTCAAATATCTATAACTAAATCATCATTTGTCTTCTCTAAAGATGTTTATTTTATTCACTTTTCATTTGTTCCTCATTCTATTCTCCCAGAGCTCTAATTTTAGAAATCTTCAAGTCCTTTGTTTTCTTTACTTATGAATTTATTTGTTTATTTATTATTTTGTGTTGTTAGTAAAGCTTGAACTTAGTTACTAGGCACTGTCCCTTAGCTTTTTCACACAGCTCCACTTCTGGCTTTTTGGTGGCTAATTGGAGATAAGATTCTCAAACTTTTCTGCCTGGGCTGGCTTCAAACCATAATCCTCGGATCTCAGCTGCTTGAGTAACTAGGATTAAATCTATAAACCTGGCTCCTTTGTCATGTTTAAAACATTTATAACCTATTCCCTTCTTTCAACTGAAGTTATCCTGTACTCTCGACCCCATCCAATTTCTACCCTCCACCTCTTTCCTGATAGTCTATCTTGATGCCTTATTAATTTTCTTTTACTATGTCATCTTTTAGCTGTAAATAATTCAATTGAATCTTTATTATTAAATAAAACCTCTTAGAGAGTAGAACCCAGAATAATCAAAGAGAAATTTATCTTTCCCAGTGATCTCACAAAACTCCACCATGACAGATTTTCACCTTTGCCATCCATGGGACATGTTTCTCATTCTTTCATTATCTTATGGGTCAAAGTCCTTTCTCTTATCTTCCCAAATGTTACCCAGCCCTCATGACCTAGAATAAAGTTTCCTTACTCCTTAAATGAATCTTGCCTGGTCATTTCAACTAGAAGTGAGTTCTTTTCCTTCCTTCCTTCCTACCTTCCTTCTTTCCTTCCTTCCTTCCTTCCTTCTTTTCTTTCTTTCTTTTGTTCTTTCTTTCTTTCGTTCTTTCTTTCATTCTTTCTCTTTCTCTCTTTTCTTTTTCTTTTTTTTTTTTAGTAGTAGGTCCTGAACTCTGGAACTGGGGGCTGGGCTGTCCCTTAGCTCTTCAGCTCAAGGCTAGCTTGAGCCACAGTGCCACTTTCAGCTTTTTCTGCTTATGTGATGCTGAAGAATTGAACCCATGCATGCAAGGCAAGCACTCTACCACTGAGCCACCTTCCCAGCCCCGTGAGTGCTTTTCTTAATAACTTCGATTACATCTTAAATATGTTCCATGCTTACATTTAGAGATGTGTATTATTTCTGTGTAAAGTCTACATATTAGACTGTTAATTAAATTGACCCACTAGAAAGCAAAGCCAATACTTATATACCTATGTGATCTATGCTCTATGGAACATTTGTATAACTTGTAAACGCTCTTTCATTCTAGTGTCCACTACTTTGAAATTCCCCTTACACAAGAACACTCATTTTCATTCCTTGCCATTTTTTAACATTAGCAAGCCACTAAACATTATTACATACCTTCCCCCTTTCTGCATGTTTTCATTTCAAGGATAGTTTTAGTAAAGCTTATTAAAACAAGCTTGAGCCCTGAAAGGAGTACTCTAGTTTTCCCATGGTGTAATAGTAACCATTATTCTGAAACCTTTGAGATGAATTCCCAGTTGTCACACACCTTAGAGGCAGAGGTTTTTCATATTTCTAGGGGTCATCTTACTTAGCTACAAGTAAAAAAATCCATGTAATTTGTCTTGTTACACATGACTAATTCAGGGATTTTAATATACTGTTCCTCTAGACAATGAGTGTGAAGTTTTGGTATTTGAAGACTTTTAGACTTAAAGTTGTTAAGGTATCTTTTGTGGATAAGTGACAGAAACTCAAGCTAATATAATGACATGAAGAATTCATACTTTACAAATTTGGATTGCTTTGGGCATGCTCAGCTCAATCTCAAAGACTGTTATTCTTTTTTTTTTTTATAATACTCGGAAACTTTATTTTTATTTATTTATTTATTTATTTTGGTCAGTCGTGGGGCTTGAACTCTGGGCTTTGGCGCTGTCCCTGTGCTCTTCAGCTCAAGGCAAGCTCTATACTGCTTGAGCCACAGCGCCACTCCTCAAAGACTGTTATTCTTATTTTTCTCTTTCTTTTTACCTTTTAGCTCTTCCTGTCCTGGTTATTGACCTCATTTTCCCCTGTAGTAAATGTACATTCTCCATACAGCTGAGGAAGACACTTGCTGCCTACATCTCTTTCCCAATGATCTGTATGTAACTCCACAGATGAGTCTAATTTGTTCTGTTTGGGTCTTATGCTCAAACCAGCATGAGTTACTGGAAGAAAGAGATGAGCTACATTGAGTGATACTACATGGGTCATAAAACTAGTAGTAGAAAATGGGCAGGGAAAAGCAGAGTGACAGTTGCAAAACTACACAACATTAGGGGAAGAGGTCCATGAAGAAAAGGGTATGATTCTCAGAAGAATGGGGACACACAGTGGTCAGATACAACATTAAATAAAGCAAGCTACTTTAGTCTGCTTATTTCACTCTTTGTTCTTTCAGAATATATAAATTATATATCTTTACCCATATCTTAAAGCATGCGTGTTGTTCATCTCTATATTTAAAAAAATGTTCTTCACAAAATAATCAGCCTTCAACTAAAATTAGATGTACCCAGCACCATTGTTAGTTATTGTCCCAGCTCTAAGTCAGGAAGTCTCTGAGAGATATGCTATTCTTGGTTGTATTTTAATAGGACTCCTCTAGCTCCGTGTGTTTTTTGAGCCTATATAATCAATAAACTAACTCCCAAACTCCTATTTCTAGTCAATAAAAAAGAGAAAGCAAGATAGCAACAGCAAAATCTCCCCTTTAGAAAAGAGGATAGCAGCTAACATTACTATACATTTGAGCCTATAATATGCTCTGTGAGCTTCCTTAATTGGATGTTGAGTTGGTTGGTTACCTGTCTGACAGCTCTAGGCTAGCCTACTGAAGTATCTCCATTTCCAGAATTTTCTGAGCCCCCATCGGAGAGGTGAATAGGAAAGAATGTCTCTTCTGAGGACTGCTGCTTTAGGAGATCACCTGCTGTGGACTTGGTTACTAAAGCTGGAGAGTCAGCTTAGCACTTGAGTAATCACAAGCTCTCTCTGTTGGGTTTAGATTTAGTCTGGCAATTAAAATTGTCAAATGCTATGGAGTTTATTCCTAGAAACTCTAATAACCAGAGCCAGTCTTTGAAGGTTATAGTGCTTGAATCGAAGCTTCATCTTCACAATTCCAGTCTGTAACTGCAGAAAGAAGATAGAGTCCATTCAACAATAGTTTCAGTCTTTTTCTTTAATGTCTTGACCTGACCTTTGATCTTGGCCAACACCAAATGAAAGGTGGCCTATGATCTCTCAAGTTGTGTCAAAGTGGTGGTTCTTTACATTTGGTGAATCATTACCTCTTCTGGTCTCAACATATTCATCAAGAAGTGTTTAGGAGAGGTCTGGGCTGAGTCTTAAACAACTGGGTATCAATACAGAAACAGGCTGCTTAACCCAGCCTCCTTTATTTACTGTGTATGCCTATAGTAGCCACTTAATTGCTGGGTGTCTATTGTTCTCATCTACCAAAAGTACATACTAATACGTAGCCCCCACACTGTTCTTATGAGGAAGGAATGAGTTAACATATGGGAAAGACTTAGAACATACTGGTGTAGACCCTAGTGACATCCACTGTTACAAATTTGTCCCCAACTTTTTACTCTACGGGGTTGTAATCTTGTCTCCCAATGGGTTTCCACTATTATATCTTTATTTTTCATTCTTCAACAAGTGACTTATAACTCACTTTTCCTGTTTCCACATTATCTGATCATCAGTTGTCCACAGATACAAGGAAGTGAAGTCTGGCTAACAGTGCCACTACAGGACAGTGTCCCTACAGGACAGAGTTAATGCTGCAGACAAGGGAATGAGAAAAAGTATTGAAAACATTTTTAAAAGTATCTAATGCAGTACTTAGAACTTCATGAAATAATGTCTTGGGTTTAGTTCCCTACATGCAAAGATGGAGAAAAAGATTTAGGTACATGTGACTTTTGAGTGATGGCTCCTTAGCAAAATCCCATGAAGGAATGAGGGGTTCAAGGTAAACAAGGGACCAGAGTTAGGAACGATGGAGTCTCTGCTAAAGGCTACATGTAGCCTAACTCATGGCCAGCACTTGGGCAAAAACATTACATATAGCAGAGTTACTTCTGACTTGAGATAAGGCTGCCCACTCTTTGGAACCCCATATTAATCCATTACTGATCTAAGAGAACATTAATCTCAAGGGCAAGGTAGGCCTCATCCATCAAGGGTAATCATTTAAGAAGAAAACTTGTGAGCCATTGGCAGTCAGCACTCACTACCTCTGAGTGCTAAGTGCATAGGCCAAGTAAGGAGAATCTTGGCTGACCACCAATGGAATCTACTATAAATAATAATGATAAATGATGATGGCTGTTATTTATTAAATACCATTGAGCTAACTAGCCCTAAACATGTATTGTGATTGTTCTTATTTTTCTTGAATACTCCTTTTATGTATTTTTCTTTCCAATACAGTGTATTTGGTGCAGGGAAGAAAGGACTTGCAAAAAATACTGTTTTCCATATGCTGGGTGTAAATTCAATTCTATATTTTGGGGAAATTGTAAAGGTAAGTTGTTCTTATTGAAAGCTTTATGTACTTTATTTCAACTGACTTGCAAATACTAGTGATTTGCTACATTGGAAGGATTTTAAACTATTATGTTTCCTTTAGCAAAACATAGCAGTTCAGGGCTATTCATCAGCAGGTTCCCTGATGTGGCCTCATTGGTTCTTCCAGCCATTGTTGGTTCAGATGAAGTTCCACTCATTCTGTCTGCAGAAGCCCTACCATAGCATTTGTTAAATACTTGAATTTCATTTCTAACAGTATTCCATGTATGATATGCACAACCTAGTCTGGGAATATTTGTATTTTTATGCTGTTTTAGAAATTCTAAGAGTTCTTTATAAACTAGTCCTAGAATGAACAGATATGCTTAGTAGCCTTATAACCTATTTCTTCAACTCAGAAATAGGCTGATTAGCTTATAACCCAGTGTTGAGACTCACCATTCAGAGTAATGAATCTATGAGACTGAGAAAATACCAATCACAAAAAAATTAAATTGAATCTGTAATGTCACACTTTTAATGTGTTATATGTTAATTATCAAGGTAGGAAAATCTACCAATCTCTTTGAAGGAGTTTCCCAGAAACATTGAAACAAAAGACATTCCAGCTAAATCCTTATCATATAAAGAAACCTAATCTAGAATATCTAGTTGGTTTTCTCTTAAGTGAAGTGAAAAAGATAATATTTTGTCCTTAAATTGCTACTAGTTCCAGGTATTGACAGACACATTTAAATCATACGTTAGTCCAAAGAACTAACACTTTTGTGTATTTACTGGGAACAGAAAGTCTAGTTTCCTGTTTTCACCTTCTAGTTTCATTTGATAGTATTCTGGACTAATACATTACATTGCACTGAAGGGGAGCAAGTTTCCTATAATCAGAGATCTGACAATAAGCACCATCATCTCTTTGATAATGAAATGCTGACACTTAAACAACAAGCAATCTGTGCTATGACCTTCATAGAAACAGCCATCTGAGGTATCTGATATATTATCTTTGAGAGAGTACTGGAAATAAAATTAGAGATAAAGGAAAAAAATAATCCCAGTAGTTTACTATTTAGTCAATTTGGAGAGAAAGAATCCAAAAGCCACCTCCTTTTTTTTGTTGTTGTTTTTTTGGTCGGTCATGGGGCTCGAACTCTGGGCCTGGGCACTGTCCCTCAGTTCTTCAGCTCAAGACGAGCACTCTACTGCTTGAGCCACAGCACCACTTCTGGTTTTCTAGTGGTTTATTGGATATAAGTGTCTCACAGATTGTCCTGCCTGGGCTGGCTTTGAACCATGATCTTCAGATCTCAGCCTCCTGAGTAATTAAGATTACAGGCATAAGCCACTGGTGCCTGGCCTAAATGTGGCCTTCTTTTACCAACTCAGATTATTTTCTAATGTCACTGATGCCTATGTTAGTAGCTTTATTTATTTCTATAGCTTTATTTATTTATTTGCATATTGAAGAATCAGAGTATAAGAATGCATTTTAAATCATGATTCATCATTCTAGAAAACATAAAAATGTAAGAATATTTTTACTTTGTTGCTAAACTATATTTCTTTCGTATATTTCAGTTGACATGTTTGGAATCATGATGCTGATAATCATTGGAATGTTGTTACTATTATTCGCCTGGTATTGCTGTGTCTATTCCTTTTACACGAGTCAGTATGTTCATTTTATCTTTAGTAAGAGTATGCTTTGAGACGATATTGAAGAGAATGCTAACTTAGTTATCAGAAAATGTTTTATAATTTAATGTAATAAAAACAATATATCCACATAGTAAGGGAAAGTCAAAAAGTACAGAATATTGTAAGATTTAAAAAAAATTAACTTGTATAGCCTATGTCTATCTCTAACTCTTTCTTTCCAGAAGTAATCCTGTTAAGTATGGTCCATTTGTAGGACTTCTGTTGATTTGTTGGACTCTTTTCATGTCTTTTCTTTTTTCTTTTCTTTTCTTTTAATTGCTGCACCCCCCACCTAAATTGTAAAGTTTGTTTTTCGACATAGCGTGTCAACCTGTATCCCTATTTAAACAATTTGTTTTTTCCCTTCTGTTTCCCAAATTATACCAACATCCAATACAGAGAAAACAGGGCTTATACCATAGGGGAGGGACATACAAAGCAACAAAAAAAATCACATGGTACCTTATAAATACGTTAGAAACAATAGCAAGAAAGAAAAAAACCACTTGTGTCCTTATCTTGGGGTTCATTTAGCTTAACATCATCATCTTATCTGATCTCTGCTTGTCTCAGACTTTTCATGTCTTTTTAACTTACATATTATTCATTGATTTCCCCATCCTGGAAGCTGAAAATCTTGAACTCTCTATATCTTTCTTTTTGTCAGTTTGTTATTAGTGGATATTATCATTTTGTGATTTGGTGATTTTAAAAATTGTTTTATGTTATGAATCTTCTAAGAGTATCCTAATATGTTTGGTGGCTACTTTTTTGACTTTAATAATCCTTTTAAATATCTATTTCTATCTCAGTTCTCTTGTTATTTAAAATAAAATGGACTATCTATGATTTTTCTTTAACCTTCTCCTTCTATCTCCTAAATCAGTGTAATATTTATACTTTTTTCCTGTAGTTATAATTACAAAAGGTTTAGTCAAAAATTTTAACTGCTTTAACCTATAATTGTTTTAAATATTATTTATCAAAGAAAAAAGTGAAAGTAGGAAATGTAATTCTATGCCATGATGACATGTATTGCTTAAAAGAAAATGATCAAGTATGAGAATTGAATGGATTCCCTTGTTCTTCTTTTTTGTTAAAATCATGTTGTATTTCTTCTAGTTCTATGTATAAGAAAGTCATAATGTATTTTAATGTTTCCCAGTTTAAAATTATTTTCATTACTTCTTGTTAACAAAAACACATGTATATTTATTCCTATCACTTGGAAAATTTATATTTGATTACTTATTTTCATCTGTGTCCTCTAGGCATTCTCCTGAATATTCTTCTGATATCCTGTTCTAAGTTACAAAAATTATTTTTGCTGTCATTTATGTTTCTCTTTTTAGGATTCTTTTGTCCACCATTATCTTAGACTAAATCTTAAGTAACTTTTTCCAAAAAGGTTTACAGATGTTTTAGAAAGTTTTTCTATAGTTCATACCTTCCTACACTGTTGTCTTTTCTCCATTCTCCTATAGTCCAGCATGGTATAATTTTCCTTTTTTTCAGATTAACTACTTTTTCTAAGAAGGACTCATTAGACAAAGCAGATAGAACCAAAGATAAATAGATATATATTAAAAAGCCTCCCTGTAAGTCACACATGCTTATAAAAATAATGAATGTTAGCCAAATATTTTGTTCTCTTGTTGATCTCCTCCATTTCATCTAGAGATGTGTATTTTTATTGCCTTCATACTTCATATCCCTTCATTTTTAATATACAAGCACAAATCGGTAATATTTGTAATCCGTAATCTCCTCCTCCTTTTTTATGCCAGAACAGTGGATTGAATGGCCTTGGTTCTGTTCCTTAGCTTACTCTCTTAAGGCTGACCATTTACCAGTTGAGTCAAAGTTCCATTTCCAGCTTTGTGCTGGTTAATTGGAGCTGTGTTTCTCATGGACTTTCCTGTCTGGGGCTGACTTTGAACCAAAATCATCATATATCAGCCTCCTGAGTAGCTAGAATTACAGCCATATTCATACCACCAATGCCCTGCCTGATATTTCTCATTCTTTACCTTATAACAAAAAACCAAGAGATAAAAGTTAATGGTACACATTATGTCAATGGCAAAAGGCTGCTATTTATTTATGTTTTCTTTTCATAATTCTAGCTGACTGCCTCATCACTTTTTTGTACAGTGAGTGATTATGAAAAAAAGTGGCTAACTCCCTTCTAACAGTAAGGCCTAGAACAAAACCTATTGCTAAAATGTCATTTATCTACAATTTAAAGGAAGAAACCTGAGTCTTCTCTTCAAATATGGTTCAACACTTGTACTTCCTTCTGGTGTACCTTAACTCTTCACTTATTTCTTCTCTCTGAATTTCTACTAGAGATATTCCAAAGTTTTTAATCACACATATACATAAAAAAGAAAGATTGAATACTTGCCTTCATGAAGCTTACATAGTACTAAAGGGAATACAAATAAACAATTATAAATTGTATTGCTTTTTTGATATTTTGACTTACATTTCATTAATTTTAGTTATATTTTTTCTTAAATGCTTTAATTCTTCTGATGGATAAATGAAAGAATTCAATTTAATATGACAAGGAATGAACTATTGCTTAAGTATGACATATATGATTAAATAAAATAATTTCATCTATAACCCTATGTTAAATTCTAAATTTGCCATTTTGAACAGACCTCAGACCTATATTTATAGAAGAAATGGAAGAATTACTGTTGAAAACTGGGACCCTTCTGGCAAGTGCTTTTTTTTATTTGATAAAATGCTCTAAACTTTTTCAGTAATTAACAGTCAGAAAGAATTCCTTAATTTTTTCAGTCATCAGAAGTAAAATATGCGTAGGAAAACATGACATTTCAATGTTCTAATTTCATCTTTTCTAATATATACTTTTGTAACCTCACTAATTACTCTAGGATGGATAAAATTCACAATGTTGGGAATGGATTGCTTCTCCAGTTCCTCCAACTCCCACTCTGCCTAGACAAGTCTACCTAAGATGTCCCTTGCCTGAAGGAGCCATTATAAGCTTGTCCAAATGAACACATTTCATCTTATATAGTTCCTGCAACACTCAGTGTCCATTCTGTTTAACTGGATTCTTTAAATGTTTCCTTAGGTATAAGGTTCGTTCTTACTCAGGGTTCACATCCTGGCTTCCTTTGGTTCTATAGTTCCTAGGCAGACCCATGCATTGCTACAACTCTGTCAAAGCTTCAGGTCTAGAACCCAGCTGGACTCAGAACTGTGGCCTCTTATTCAGTTGAGAATTGGACCACAAAATTTCAGATGTGAATACTAACACTAAGAAGGAGTACTTCACAGTCCATTATAATTACCATGAAAATAACTTGACAAGGCAGGGGGAATCTAGAGTATTATATTACTCTGGACTGTAGAGGTATAATGCTAAGCAAGGTAGAAAAACCCGGGGAGCATATTTTAGGTTACAAAATTTTAAATGAAAATCAGGGTAAACCTTAAAAGTCAAGAATAAAATGCTAAGCACATATACATACATTGCTAATTGCTGAATCTTTTAATAGAGAAATAGTAATGGAATTATTATGTCTTAGAAAGGGAGCTAACAAGATACTTCTTGTCTTGAAATCAAGCCAGAAGCCTGTAGAAAATAATACTGCATTGCAACTTTACTCCATTTAAATTTCCACAGGAATTTCTAGGAGAAATGCTTTGAAAATTGTGCAAGATTGGATAATTCTTAAGGCAGATGCAACTCATAGATTGCGACTCTTTAATTACATTAGAAGGGAAAAAAAGAAATCAAATTCATAAGGCAGAATTATTTCCCATCTAGGAGAGGGTTGAGAAGAATGCCTATATAACGGGTTGCAAAAGTAAACAGAATTCTACAAAGGTGACTCGTAGGATAGATTCAGTTTCATTGAGCACCCTCAGACTTTCCGTCACTGAAAACAGCTAGTATTATGGTTTTGTCAAATGCTTACCTTTTCCCCTCTGTCAAATTCACACCCAGATTGATGGAACCTTCTCTTACCTGACCCCTAAATATTAAAATAGCAGTAACATAAAACTCAAGAATCCTATTATTTATGGATATTTTGAATTACATAAAATGTCATTGACTTTTGTTAGAAATTGGAGCTAAACATTTTCTTTTTTTTTTCATATGATCAATAGGAGACTAAAAAGATCTTTTAGAGTGAGAAAGAGGAAGTGTCTTCAATGGTAAGATTTTTCAATAATATTGTATGAATTTCTTACATGCTTTTTCTCTCTCCTATCAAGCATCTTTTCAGAAATGTACTTAAAATCATAAGAAAATAGAAAATAGAAATAAAATCTATAAAATATAGACAAATTTTCAATTTGGTTGTCTTCAAGGCTGAAATCTAGACTTAGGCTAGCTATAATTTCTTGATATAGATTATCTTGCTATCTAAACTGGGATTTGGTAAACAAACACCCTCAGTTCTTTTGAATTAGTTTAAGATCTTGAGCTTTTGAGTAGACTGGCCTTGGGCTGAAACACTCCAGCCTCTATCTCCTGAGAAGCTGGGATTATAGATATGCACTGTCAAGCCTGAAAATGTTTTAAAAACTTGGTAGTTTTACCTTTCAAATTCTTTATTTATTTTTTGTTGGTTGTGGAGCTTAGGGCCTGGACACTGTCCTTTAGCATATTTGCTCAAGGCTAGAGCTCTGTCACTTTGAGCCACAGCTCCACTTCAGTTTTTGAGTGGTTAATTGGAAATAAGAGTCACGTGGACATTTCCTCCCTGCTGGCTTTCAACTGTAAACCTCAGATCTCAGCCTCCAAAGTATCTGAGATTACAGGCATGAGTCACCAATGCCTCACCTTTTAAAGTCTTTTTCCAATTTATATGTTATTTCTGCTCTAATATTTACTACTGTGCTTTTCTACTAACATTGAGCCTAGGTCATTTTTCTTTTCTAAGTTCTTTGATGTGTAACATTAAGCTTCTTATTTGAGAATTT